ATTACTACCAACAAAATCCTTGATGATATAATTGGTAGTACTGTGGACTATGAAGCAAGAGTTCAGTGGTTCAAACCCTGATGAAGGTAAGTGTTATTCATAAATTAAAAATATAGAAAATATCAATATTTCTGTGGGGTATAGGGTAAGATAAAGTAGGAAATAGTAGAAGGTAGAAAATAAGATGATAGATAGAAAATGGGAGAGAATGAGATGGGATATAGTTCTTTTAGTTCTTTTAAGAATGCCAAAGCGAAAAAAAAATAGACCAGTACAAGAAGTCTTGTACTTGAACCAGTACAAGAAGTCTTGTACTGGAACAAATTAGATTAAACTGGTTCAAAAATATATTGAACCTGAACTACAACATATATAAAGGCACCCTTAATAAAGATAACAAAAATTATACAAATTATGCAAAGGGAAAAAATGGTGTGTTAATAATTTTTGTTGTAACTTGATTCTTTTCCAGGAAATAAAGTTCTTTTTTGGCTTCAGACGACAAAATACTGCAAAATTTGATAATTGTACATTGTGTATTATTAAACCTCATGCTATGGCAGAAGGTATGTTACAGTGTTACATGGCGGGAACAGAAATTTTAATCCAAAATTCTCAGTATTACCATAAATTCTCCAAAAATCTAGCTCTGACAAACACAAGTCAATAAATCAAACTGAAAAGTGTGTGGTTATTGAGCCAATGAACTTTCAATCGCTTTGTCTTGGAGTTGTTTTGGTAACGTGATGCTAATTTGCATTGTTCATTTAATCGACTTTGTCACACTTAAAGTGAAGAATCCAGGGTAAATATTTTGAATACTCAAGAAATAAGCCAAAGAAATTGTTCCTTATATTAAACAAATGCAATCTGCTTTTAAATTAATATTTTTTTGAAATACAAAACGATTTCGGCATGATCCTTACATGTATGTTTAGAAGTTTGACGGCACCATGAGATTTATACCACTCAAGTTGATTACGAGTTTGCTTTTACCTTTTGAATGAAAAACAACTCTTTAAATATAGTATCAATTATCAATCTTAACAATTATGTCTCCAAGATCATCATACACAATTAAATAAACTGATTGTAATTGCATACGAAATGCATGGATCACGGAAATCGAGTAGTGGAAAAGCACTTCAAAATCAAAGAACAATCAAAAAGCGAAAAGTTTATTTTCCGTCTCTTTTTCCCCAAAAACGTTCCTAAAACTCGGGGTGCGGCTTATCTACGAGAGCGGCTTATACATGGGTAAATACGGTATTCTTACCTCATACATTTAGTAGATAAAATTGAGTAAAAGCAGCCCTAAAATAACTTGCAATAAGATCATGCTGCTAGCAAGTTCAACATCAACATTGACTCCTTGGTACTGATAAGCTGCCCCATAAGGATACTGTCCCTGGTGACATTTTAGTATCCACTTTCCTCACCTGTTACACTGTAGCCTGTCAGTGGATATTCATGCATTTTGGTTCCAGTAAATGTTAGGTGACCTGCTCATTATTTTTTTTATCAAAACTTGATAATGCTGTAGGTTTGACTGGAAAGATTGTCACTGCAATTCAGGACCAAGGACTTGAAATTTCAGCCCTTCAAATGGTAAGCTACAGTATCCTTGGGGACTCAGCCTGGGTGATTTTCCAMAATTTGCTAGAGTAAATGCCTGTGGAAATGGAATTGGTTTGTTTGACATTGCTCTGGAAGTTGAATTTCATCTCTCTCCCTGTTGGTGTACCTTTAAAGGATTTCAAGTGAAAATCAAGAGACTCATTCCAAGGAAAAGTAGACTACTGACATAATATGATGATTATCAATGACAACTCATTATAGAAATGTATGGATTCAACTTCCAGTCGAACAAGCTTTAACATTAATATAACATCCCTGGGTATTTTCTCTTAAGGCAAAGAAACAATAACATGTAAGAATACTCAAGGTAGAATATGGCTAGTAAGACCTGGTTCAAAGAGCATCATTCAGTTGATTTGAACCAGGAAGATTATAATTCCATTGAGTGTAGGAATGTAATTTGTCAGAATTGGGGTATAAGATTAGCAGATTATAAATACACTAAATAATAATGATTATATTATTTAATGTTATTTGATGTTTATGTGCAGTTTCATCTAGAGAGAGCAAATGCAGAGGAATTCCATGAGGTTTACAAGGGTGTGGTCAATGAATACAATGTATGTKGACATATGACTGTCATAAAAGTTTTAATTTTTTGATATTATATACATGACTTTATTGATATCCTTAATTACATACTCTAAAACCCAAGTTCAGATCTTTTTTCAAGAAAATTGGATTACGTGCATTATAAGAACAGAAGAAGTTCATAACTTAAAAAAAAATGAGATTATAATTGAATAGCATATGAATTCTCTTGTCATATCATGACTACCACCAGTGAATTGATGTTCACACTCTCAAATCYGCKAACATTGCAGTTTTTACAAACTAAGGTTCCATGACAAGGGGTTGATACAAATATCATGAATGTCATGTATAATTTTRGTTATTTACTTTGTATACAGAGTATGGTTGAGGAGCTTTGCAGTGGTCCATGTATGGCCTTGGAAATCAGAGGTTTAGATGTTACTAAGACGTTCAGAGAATTTGTTGGACCTGCAGATCCAGTAAGTCTCTTTTTTAAACATTGGTGATGGTGTGGTATGAAAAAGATTGAGAATTATTGTATTTTCTCAATCTTTTGAGAGGGCTGTATCCTCAGTAATGTACTAGTACTTCAGAGTGTCATGTACCTATTTTTTTTAAATAATTTTTTCCGATTTCTGATTCTGAAAGCTACAAAATAAACGTGTCACAGTTGGTGCTGTCTCATCATCAGACAAATGACAATATAAGAGGACACAACACAAGAAATTTGAAAAAATATGTTCATTCTGCATTGATTTGAGATAATGAATACCATACATAATCATTTGTGATTACCAGGAAATTGCCAGACACCTCCGACCACGCACACTAAGAGCAAGGTTTGGCAAAGATAAAATCCAGAATGCAGTTCATTGTACAGACCTACCTGAGGATGGAATCCTTGAGGTACATATATGCAAAACTCTAACTCATTAGTATAAATATTAATATGTTTTTGTCATTATCCCTTTATAG